GCAAGTTGGTTGAATTGATGGATATAGTGGTGTACTATTTATTTGTTGAGTAAATGTTCCAAAAAAAAAGAATCGTTTTTTCAGTTTATTTCTTATCAGTTCGTGTAGAATATTTGCATTTCCTTTAATGAGTCTACATTTTCTCTTTACAGGTCATTTGCCTGAAGTTTAACTTGTACTTCTTATTTCTACCTATGATGCTCGGACTCCTCATCTTTGGAGAAGTATCCTTCTCGACACGACATGACATGACATAGATACCGACAGGGATATGAATCGAATCTTTGGTTTTGCACTCGGACACGGCAACACAAGGGAGAAGAAGGTGGAAGGTGGAGTCTTGCTTCTTGATTTCTACTTTTGGCTCTACGGAGAGAAGGCTGGAGAAGATGAGGACTGGGGAAGACGAAAAGGTGATGACTACGGACTACCCTAATTGATTATATTGGGCTGGACCAAATTAGGGGCTCTTTAAAGTCCAATACATAGAGTTAATCAATTGTAATTGTTTGGTGAGATCTATATAATTTGAGGTTTATTTGGTATTAAATTTCATCTGTGTGAACTTTTTATTTTGCAATTAAAATAACTTAGCACTATATTTTTTTATTAGGTATTAAATTTAAATTTATTTCTATAATTATTTTTCAATAATATATAAGACAATAAAATTGAATTATTTTCTTTAATTATTTTAAAAGAAATTATTTTGGCTGTAAATTTAAATTGATTTCGAATTATAATCTAATTGTTTAAATTAATTTTATCGAAAGAGTTGATAAACAAACTAAATTACGAGTTCATTTTTTTACGGCCAATATCAGTTAATTTGTGTACAAGCAAATAAAAATTTAAACTGATTTTATTCAAAACAATTGTCCAATACTTATATATAAGTACAAATTGCTGTATTATCATCTAATAATGTGGTTACCAGTGAAGCAATGATTCCATGCATATTGTTTGGTGCTTTAAAAATTTTTCATAAATATGTTGGGGATTAATGGTCTTTTGCTTTCATGAATTCCGTGGGCACTTGTATTGGATCATGCAACTATTATGACAAACAATTCATTTGTTGTATGAATTTTATATGATCCTTAGTCCACATGTGAAAGGATTTTTTATATTCTAGAATCATATAACTTTTAAGTTTCTCTACATACTCAATAAGAGAAAGTCCATTCTAGTGTAGCGATAACAAACATTGAGTTGAAGATGTAATTCCTGAGAATTCAACCCATTTAATGCGCTAACATTACCTTCAAATTAGCCTAGCCCATGTAGTGCACGGGCAAAGACTAGTATTACTAATAAATGTTGATAATCTATTTGTTCTTTTCAAAGTTTGAAAACTAACTCGCTACTCGCTAAAATTTTGGACCAACAATGAATTTTTTCTTTTCCAAAAGTTCCTTGTAAGTGAAGTGAGTTTAACTCTATTAAAAATAGAGATGGTAATAAGGGTGGATCGATAGTTTTCATCCCCGATCCCATCGAGTATTTTTATCATGTTGTCCCATCTCCATACACGATTAAGTAGGGATAGGGAGCAACAAGTCCCCTACCTCATTTATCGTCCCACCTTTTTCTTCTTTTACATTTATTTTTCTCATCTTTAGTTGATAAAAATTATTACGTTTTTTTTTATTATTTATTAAGAACAACCCATGTTTTTTAAGAAATGAATAGTCACATGCGAACTACATTGTACATTATTCTGAAATGTTTTATAAGTACTGTAAAAATAATTTTTGAAGATGCTTAAATATAAAAAATCGTAAAAAATTGATCATGTGAAATGAAATTTTTATTCAATGAGACTATATATATATATATATAATTAGGATTATCTAAATTAACTAAAACCTCTGTGGTTGCTATGTAACTTTGGGCATTTAATTGAGATTTGGAATCAGCGTGCATTCACCCAAAAAAAAAAAAAATATAATAATAATAATAAATCATGAATTGTTTTACCTCAAATTTGAAAACGATGGATAGAGAAAAAACAAATTAAACTAATAATTTAATATTAAGATTAAGACTAAGGGTGTTTTGTGGATAATATAATTACAACATAAATAGTCATTATGTTAGACGTATTATCTTCATGGTCAATTAGCATGAGCCTTAAATATCAAATTTTGCAACATTGTTGGAGTAAGATTCGATCAAACCCTTTCGAACTACTGACACTTTACTGGACCTTTCATTTTAATTTGCAAACAAATCTCTTATTGCCTTCGATTTCATAATGAAGGAGAGCAAAATATTTGATGATTAAAATGAAATCACCAATTTGTGAAAAACAATTTAAATACTTGAGAGAATAATTTATTTACGTTTAAGACTCATGAGAACAATCAAATGCATTCATGAACAAGGAATTTAATTAATTTGAATTAATGAATATAGAATAATAATAATTTACATAGACATGATATTGAAAAAAAAAAGACAAAAAGGTTTGTACGTGAATCTGGAGAATAAATTTATATAATAAATTTAATGAATAGTCTTGAAAATAAATAAGTGTACATGAACTAGAATAATTTATTTACTGCTAGATAATTGAATAACCCCCAGAGTATAATTAATTTGCACAATTTTGTTCTAAATATGAGAGAAATGTACCCTAAAAATAAGTGTTAATTATTATACATGCACGTAAACAATGAAATGTATATTTGAATGTTAAATACATATTGAAATATGAAAAGTAAAGTATTTTTGAAACAATTAAATTGTAATCGGGTTAGAATCGTCCAAAAAGTAATTTTCACTTGATATGATATTTAATATATTATAGATGGTAATTCTTTTGAACTTAAATTTAAAATAAACTTTAAATCGACATGAGTAGGGCGATGGGGATCATGTTTCCCGTATCTTGCTTAAAATGACAACCACTATCTATCCGTCCCATTTACGCTATTAGGTGGGTAATGTGTCCCGTTCAAAGCAATGTCCCGTGGATGCTAGTCTTCTTCCTTTTTTCAATGTCCCGTGGATGCTAGTCTTCTT